TGTCTTGGCAATTGCTTGAAAATCAGTCCTCCTTTCCCAAAATCAAGTGTGCCATAAAGCAGCCTGTTTTCCCAAGTCTTTTCTGCCTCATTCCCTCCTCAACCTCCCCATGTCCCCAGCCTGTGCCGTTACAACCATCACCGAGTCTTCAGAGGGAAGGACGAGTGGGATACTGAGCAGCCTCTCTGCGGCTGCCAGGGATGGGCTTGGACCAAGAGGTAAGGGTCCTCTGCTCCCCACTCCTTAGGTTTCTCCGGCCACTGCTACCTCAACGCCGCCAGACTGCCATCAGCGGTGGTTTCTCATGGACAGCAGGAGAACGGCAGAGCACTCTGTGCCCACCCTGCTCCCAAAGTAAGGTTCAGGAAGAAGCCTCCCCCTTCTCCAAGGCCAGCTGAGGAGCCTCCACCCTCCCCCTCCACGATGGTCTGAACCTGACAGCTCCTAATAAACCAAAGTTTACGAAGCAGCGCCCGGAGAGACCCTGGAAGCTAATTAATGCTCTAATGAAGAGCCTGACTGCCTTGTTTGCTTGACGGCTCCCAGGTCAATCAATCTGCCATAGCCTGGCTTGCAAAAAAGCAGCGAGGAGCCCAGCACCCCTGGCATCTGCTCAGTTATCATCCCCCGCCACCCCTCCCCATCCCTCCTCCCACGTTCATTACTGTCAAAAAGCCGGCAGCAATAGGCAACTGCAGATTTATAGAGGCGATTGCAGCTTCTCCCCGTGCACCCGCTCCGGGATTAGTCATGACGGAACCGGACGAGGGATGACATGAGGATGGAGGGGTGGGAAGAGGTGTGGGGAGGTGGGTGCCCTGCAGGTTGGGATGGGCAGGTCTGTGCCCAAGTATGAAAGGGGCGAGGGGGTGCTTGGGGGGCTTTGACACAATTTCCTGCTTGGGTGAAAGCTCTGCTTTTTTAACCTGCTGTTGCCAGAAAGGCTCCCCAGCGCTCAGACCCCAGGCACTCTCAAAGCTCTGCTGAATCACCCCCTCGCTTGTGCTGCAGGGGAAAGATAAGTGCAGTAATGCATACGAGGACAATGGCGATTTAATACACCACCACAAATCTGCTCAAGCCTCCTTGCCAAAAGAGTCCTACCCAGATGTCCTAGCCTCTCCAGAGCCCTCATCATGCACAGTGCCGCCGGAGACTGTCTGCTGCCCTTGTCTGAGTCCCACAGACCGCAGGGACACATGCTGCTCCCAGACAGCACCTCCCGTCTGAGCCACTCCATCCCCGAAAGCCTGGCAGAGAGAAGCAAGATCCAAGGAGGAGCTGGGAACAGAGGCTGCCTGGTAGCCCTCAGATCTCCCCTTGACCCACATGCATCTATCTACCACCTTCCTCCCTCAGGCAGGACTGGGAGCCCAGGCCACCGTTCCCCCTCCACGCTGCGTGAGGAAGGGGGCAGAGCCCCAGCTTTCGGGGACAAGAGAACCAGGGTTTCAGCGGCAGGCCAGATACTGCAGCGGAAGGGGAGCCCCAAACACAAGGCTGCGGGTGGGAAGAAATCTCCACCCCCGCACTTGGGGCGCTCCTCTGTGTGGTCTCCTGCCACCTTTGGCTTTGGGGAAGCAGCTGTCATGAACCGAGCCATGCTTTTATTGTTCCTCCCCTCCTGCTGCAACACAAGCTCACCGGGAAAGAAACAACAGGAAGCCTGAGAGATGGAAGTAAAAAGGAGAGCGCTGTGTTGTAAGGACACGAAATGGCCACAAGCGACCTAGCCGCTCGCCAGTCTGGTCCACAACCCTGCCCGACAGACCCCCAACACCAGCCTGGATGTTTGCCCCAGCCCACAGCAGTTAAAACCCAGCACTCACCCTACAGCAGTGCAGGTCCCTCTTCCTGCAAAGCACACATGAGCTACCTGAGGCAGCATGCCGTACCTGTGCTCAACCTTCCCCATATTTTGCAACCCAGCTCATGCTGGCTTGCATGACAGCAAGGAGCAGGCCACGAGAGGGAGAAACACTGGAGCTTCAGATCCTGCTGCCACTGCGTTTTCCCAAGTCACCAAGTGATGGACAACATAGCCTCGTGATACCTCAATTCTCTGTAAGCTCTCATGTGTACACAGCCAGCATCCTTCGTAGGGCTTTTCCTCATGCTGCTTAATAACTGCGTCATGCCCGAGGGGCCAGGAACGTCACACTCAAAGGCCGAATCTGGCTCCAGGTGCCATGCAGGGCACTTCTGCCATCCCACCTACAGATCTTCACTTCAGAGCTGGATTAATGCTGCCATTGCCTGCCTTATTCACTCCTTCCTTCAGGAGCTACGTGTTTTGTTTCTCAAATACTGCTCGTTTCTTCCCAGGGGTAGGAAAGGACCGGTGTGTTTCAAGCTGCTGGCATTTCCTCAACATTACCTGCTGGCCACGAGATAGCCGTAGGTGAAGTTACTTTGCAGCCACATTAATACATGCCAATTCAAAACCAGCACCGTCACCTCCGCAGTTACCACTCAGCACGGATGACAACTACAAACACTGCCCACTGCAAGAGCGCCGAGGAGAGACAGCCTAGCACTGAAACAGCAAACTGACACACCAGGAGAGGCTCCAGCACCCTGTCCCTTGAGGATGTGGGATTCCACAAAGCAAAGAGATTAATGAAGCAGTCAGGAAGCCGCTATTTTACCTTTCTCACCTGAACACACTTTAAAGGCTGATGTGTATCGATTGCCATGTCTGCACCTGGAACCTGCCAACTAGAAAGGTCACTCTGATAAACAGCGAGCAGGGGTTTAAGAGGAAACCAGAATCCCAGCATTAACTTACAATCTGGAAACACACACTGGCTCAATTTGCCGAAAGGCCTCCAGAGAAGCCTTCTTTATGGTGTCCCTTAGTGGAGACAGTTCACCCCAAACTCACTGGCACATGGGTCAAAGCAGGAACCCGTGGCTTGCGGGCAAGGGAAAGGAGAAAGCTAGGACATAGACATCCAGTAGCAGCCTGAAGTTATACCATATTAAGGCAACTACAGAGCCACAGATTTAGATCAACAGAGTCCTCAGGTGATCAGTTTTTCAGGGGTCCCAAATGACCCCTTTTGAAGCGGCCCTGGATATTAACCTGAAAACCAGTATCTGCTTCACCAGCACAGGTCTGACCTGTGGTGACTGAGGAAGGAGCCTCCCACATCATTCTGGCTCCTCTCTGGACCTTATCCAGCCCAAGACCCAGCAATGACATGACACGACACAACCTTTTGCAGCCCGCAAAACCAGGGAACACCACAGCAGTTGCTGGTATGACTGCCAGCATTGCATGCACGGAGAACATCAACCACCCGCTCTCAGAGGCTGCCTGGGACATGGAAACAAAACACAGAGAAAGCTCAACCGTGGCACTGGGGATGCTCTGAGGAGTCCCCCTCTTCTCCTCCATCCTCTTGTGGGTCATAAAACCACAAACATTGTGCAAGGCTCATTGGACTGACAGCTAAGATTTGTGTAGCTGTAGTTTGTTGAGCAGCAGAGAGATAGGGAGAAGTAAAAACCACAGAGACCTACATGACTTGTTCTGTTAAGGCATCACTTGATGGTTATTGCTCCAGTAAAGAAGAACTGGCTGGTAGAGCATGGTTTAAATGCCCTTTAAACATCCTCCTGTCCACCCTGAGCTGTGACACAGAGGCTCTCTTCTGGAAGCTGTTATCAAGGACTTCTCTTTCTCTCTGTCTCACACACATATGCATGCACAGAGATGTGCCATGAAGAAGCATATTACACCAGGGACCACAGCCAGTCAACACCGTTTCCTAGGGAAATAAGCTAAAATGATGAACATCACCAACCTGACCTTGCAAGCCATAAAACATGTATTACAAGGCAGGATAATCAAGATAAATGGAGACGATTAACCTGGAGATGAGGGCAAGGAAGGAGGGAGGGGAAAAAAGAGGATGGAGAGCTCATGAGGTGCCTGGAGCTCACAGCATGCCCTGACTTTTCCAAAGACATGCTAAGGGTTGGGGAAGGTGGAGGAGAGTATGAAAAAGGCCACTGAGGGGAAAACCAGAAAGCTCAAGCCAGAAGAACAGACCCTAGGAAGGAGTCCCTCTGCACAGGAATACGAAGGGAGGACTGACCATGCTGCAAGGACCTGAGCCAAGAGTCTTAAAGGTGCTAAAAGCCTCACTCCAAACATCAGCTCAAGCCGTAAGGCCAAGACAGCAATAAACCATTCAGCTCAGCGACAGCCCAGAGCTGCCCTGACCATGCATCTCTGCACCCTTCAAGGACAGTAGAAGGCACCACACCAAAGTATCAGCGATAAGGCCTACAGAAGGTACCTAACTCTCTCCACTGGCTGTACATGGAGCATAAGCACCACACAGGTTTTCTGACTCTCCCTACCAAGCCAGAAGTCTTGCCTGGCTGTTGCACACTCTGTGTGGGCACCCATAGCCTTGGTGACTTCCAGCTGGAAAGGGCTCGGTTTCTGGTGGGTATGAAAGTCAGGCTCTTTGCTCACTAGCTGCTTTTGAAGATGTCTCCAGCAGAGCAAGACATGCAGCCAGCTACTAGACAAGAGCTGCAGCACCTCACCTATGGCACGTCTGCATGCGCAGGCTTTGGACGGAGCATGTCTCTCTCCTTTGATCCTCTTTGCCCTGTCCCTCTCCTTTCTTCCCCAGGTTAGTCTGCTCTGATGAATGCAAGTGGCAACCTGAAAGGCACCTGTGTCTCACAAGAACAGCCCAGAGACTGGACCAAGCTGCAGTCACCTCACCTCCCAGAAGAAAACCCCATGAATAGCACGCAACGAGCAAAGAGAGGACCTGGTTCCCCAGAGGTGAATAAGAGAGAGCCAACATATCCGTGGCCAAAGAGCCAAGCAGTCCCACCTGTACTGTGCACAACTGTGAGACATCAGTTGTAGCCATGAGAGCAATCTTCACTCTGGAGAGACCACTGCAGCACTGGTAGGTACCCCGTCCCTGCGATGCACCCCCCAGCTCCTCTCGCATGCTCTGGGCACTCACCTGGCCGTAGGACCCTTATTTCCAGCAGATTGGAGGTTCTGTCCGCCAGCCGTGTCCAGCTGCTGTTGTAGTTCTTCCTCCAGAGCTCGGCCACACACTGGTACTTGCCGGCCTCCGTGTCGCTTGCCCTGCTGATGCTCAGGCGCACGTTGTTGCTGGACTCGGCCTTCTCGATGGCGGTGCGGGTCCGGAAACCCATGTACCTGTCGCCCCACTGGACGCCACCGTCACGCGTGAAGGTGACCAGGTCGTGAAACTCTGTGCTACCCGCTGGCTGGAAACGCCACGTCACCGACACTGGTACCCACGACGGGTAGTGGGGCTTGATGATGCACTGAAGGTCGAAGGACTCGTTGTAGGTCACCCCGGGGGTGCGGGAGATGGCTGTGACAGCAAAGCCGGCCTCTGTGGAAAGAGAAAAAAGCTTTGAGAGACACCTGCCTAACAAGGCCCTGCTGTTAGCATGCAAAAGCTCGAGCGTGGTCATCCAGTCATGGGCATGGAATAATCAGCCACTCACATAGTGTTGGCTCCTTGTTTGCAATTGCAAAATGGCATGAAAAGCAGCGGCAAAACCACAGTTAAGTGCCTGCATAGTGGTGACTGCCTGCGTGAGCACTGGCTGCGGCGGGGGCAGGATCATGCTCTATTTTTGCCCAGAGGAGCAAGATCCCCTGAGTCCCGGAGGGCAAGCACCCAGCCTCTGCACACTGCCAAAGCCCCGTATGGAAATGCAGCAGTGCGGTGGCAAGGGAGCAGCACCAGGCAGAGCAGCTACCCAGCGCCAGCCTGACTGCTTGCAGACCCTGTGATTCACATCCACCTCTCGGGCAGGGGGTCCCCACCCCATCCCCCACCCCAGGTCTGTGGCTGGTTGCTGCAGGTAAAGGAAAGGTGAGGAGAGTGAGAAGTAGCAGCCTTCGTTCATGCATTGGAGAGGTGACAGCAGTTATGAAACCCCAGGATGGACGCAACAGAGAGAGAGAGAGAGAGAAGCTGGTTGCTCCTGTTCTTCACACAGCATGGCTTTGGTTCTCTTCCAGATCACAGCTCCAGGACGGCTTTATGCAGTTACCCTCGCGTGTGCACCCCTCCACATGTCGGTCAAGGCATTCTGACTCGTCAACCCCCAGCACTTTGTTGGTTTAGGGGAGTTTAAAACCAGCAGTCTATTAGTAATTTGAAGACAACATATTCCCAGTCAACTGCCTTACATTTTGGGTCAGGGCACTTCCACTGCTTAGTTGTTTGAGCTGCAGATAGAAAAATATTTTCTTCTCTTCCAGTCACTTCAGTGCAGCCAGCAGATTTAGCAGAGATCTTGTCTTCCACCGGCTGCATCCTCAAGAAGCGCTCCCTTCCCGGGAGGCTCTGTAGGGTGTCCCACGCCGGCTGGCAGCTCTCCTCCCTCCCCCCTGCAGCACTGAGTCTCCTGGCACCTGGCACAGCCCCAGCTGCAGGGGAGAGCCTGGCCAGTGCCCAGTATCTGCGCGCCTCCAGCAAGTGCCTCTGCAGCCCCGCGGTGTCATCATGCCAGAGCTCCGGGAGGTGTAATTACTGAGAAAACAGGTCAATCTTTGGGATTAAAGCCTCTTGCAGCATGTTCAGTGATGATCCGGGAGAAGAGAGCAGGACCCAGGCTGTCTCCTCTGCAGGACTGCTGCATCTCATACCCAGGTAAGCCCTTACCTTCAGAGGCTGCAGCAGCCCTCCTGCCCTGGCAAGCGTGTTACCGGGCCCAGCTCAGAGCACCGCTGAGCCAGCGATGGCCCTAGAAAGTCAACTTAATTTCACCGAGACCAACTGACTTCGTAAAGTTTCATCTCTGGTTGGCCTGGCCAAGGAAGATTCATGAAGGGGCTTCTCTTGACTGCTGGGCAAAAGCCAAGTCTGTTTCTCAGGTCCTCAACTCAACCAACACGTTCATGGCACTTAGGTTAACATGCAAAGGCCTTTCTTCCTTCGGGACTTCACACAAAAGGAGAAAAGCCACGCATAAAAGCGGGCAGATTTTCTGCAAGACCTCCATATGAGAAAACAGCAGCCCCCCCCAACCCTGCCTGCTCCCTCCTTCTGCAGCCCGCCAGGGACTGAAGTCCCTGCCAGGCACTTGAGATCCTCAGAAGGTCAGGGACATCGGGTCTCACCCAACAGCACATCTCTTTTCCGGCTATTGCTTCTGAACCACCCTGTAGATAGATTTATGGGTTTGAACATCATCCGTGCTGGTTCAGCTGAAGAGTTTCTTACCCTAGCAGACTGGCAAATGGTTAGACCTTAACTTGAAATGTGAGTGTCACTAAATTTACCGCATTTTTTTTTACTAGCAATTTCTGTAGCCATAAACCTCTTTTGCTCTTTCTTAGCACCTTCCATTTGATTTTCTCGGGATGCTTTGAAAACATTACGTGGAACAAAAAATACCAGATTCAGCAGCAACGGAACAATACTCAGTATTTTCTCCACTAAATTTTCATGAGCTACTTCAGCTTTGCTAGTTGTAGGAAGAGGACCGAGGAATTTCTTCAGACTTGACAGAACGTGTTCACCAGCCGGTGATTTCTCTGGGACAAGGAGCAGAGGAGAAGGGACAACTACCTTTCCATCACATCTTCTGGAACTGCTGGGCAATTGCAAGCATCTTAAATTTTAACAGGAATAAAAGTGATACATTTTAAAATCTCAACACTTAATCTCAACACTTCTACAAGTGGCAGAGTAAAGAGAAGGGCTGATACGTGGACTTAACAGCAGGCCAAATGCTGCTGACCTCATGAGGAGGATGCTGTTGAAAGCAGATGAGAATCTGTCTTCAGCTCTTTACAAACTAATGTCCCTGCCTGCTTTTGGAAGCCATACAGCAAAGACTTCTAGCTCCATTCAGAACAGCCTCTGAAAGAAGGTCAAAAGTGAAGGGGAGGAAAGGAGGAAAAAAGCAAGATTTTAATCAGAATATGATGCAACTTTGAAGTCTGGTCTCTCACACTTCTTGCCAAAGCTTAAGATTAATATTGCAGAGAAGAAAAAAAAAAAAACCCAACCCCCCCCAAATTCCTATCTCGACTTTCCAATAGAGCTCCCCAATTGTTTATAGCCCTGGCATTCTGCAAATCAGTGGCCTCATAGGAGCAGTCATCCTTTTTTCAGTTTCCTGCAGAGCACTTTGGAATTAGTCCAGGACTTAATATAGCAAGGCCTGAGCGGGATCAAAGTCATTCACAATCCACACAAAACCCCTACCTGCCCTCTCCTAAACTGATGTGGTTTCACTGTGTTTGAAATGGAGGAGCTCTTTGGCAGAGCAGAGTACCAGCTGCAATGATCCCAGGTTCTAGTTCAGTTTGGTCATGGACAACGTTGTGGTTCCGTTGCTCCTGTTCTTCACACAGCATGGCCTTTGTTCTCTTCCAGATCACAGCTCCAGGACGGCTTTATGCAGTTACCCTCGCGTGTGCACCCCTCCACATGTCGGTCAAGGCATTCTGACTCGTCAACCCCCAGCACTTTGTTGGTTTAGGGGAGTTTAAAACCAGCAGTCTATTAGTAATTTGAAGACAACATATTCCCAGTCAACTGCCTTACATTTTGGGTCAGGGCACTTCCACTGCTTAGTTGTTTGAGCTGCAGATAGAAAAATATTTTCTTCTCTTCCAGTCACTTCAGTGCAGCCAGCAGATTTAGCAGAGATCTTGTCTTCCACCGGCTGCATCCTCAAGAAGCGCTCCCTTCCCAGGAGGCTCTGTAGGGTGTCCCACGCCGGCTGGCAGCTCTACTCC